ACTTGAGGATTGATATCTACAAGGACTAGTTTTATTCTAAGTGATCGGATGGAAGGTCCATGGAAGTGGTCGGCCGAAGTTATATTCATCTGTCATGGGTGATGCGAGCGGATTGCAGATCAGATGGTCGTAGCGGACTTGCAGGACGAAGTCTAGTTTAAGTGGGGGAGAGTTGTAACACCCAAAATCAGAAAGACCAAGAAAAAGAAAGGAAAATCTCTAAGTCAAGAGTCAACTCGTCGAGTCCAGGGAGGAACTCGACGAGTCGGAGTGGGATCCGGGGCATAGAGTAAGTGACCGACTCGGCAAGTCGGCTATTGGACTCGACGAGTCTGGTCTGGATGAGAAAAACCCTAATCCCGGGGGTTGTGCACTATTTAAAGAACATTATATCCCTTCCCCAACCTCTTTACCACCCTTTTGAGATCCAGAAACCCTAAATCGTGAGTGAGATTCCTTGGAAGCAATTTGGAGCTTGGATAAGTGGTTTTTATGAGGATATCTTGAATATCAAGAAGCTTGGATCATGGGGGCTTACAGAGATTTGGATTATTCTTTAGTGGGAGGTCATCTTGGAGGTAATAAGCTGTTACCTTCACCCTTTTTCATCTAGATCTATTCTTGAATGAGACTTTGGGGCTATTTTGGTAAGATTGAGATCGATTTCGGGTTTGGGGCTTAGATCTGAGGTTGCTACTTCAGATCTAGGGTTGTGATGGTCCAGAATGTCTTAAAGAGGCAGCAGTGACTTAGTGGTGAAGCCCGTTTTGTCTTAAACCCTAGTCATAGAGTGTTTTGGGCTTTTAGGTCCTTGGTTTCACGTAAATTTTGCAACTTTATGTGGGGGTTAGATTTTAGAAGAGTGGATCTATGGGTTGGAGCCCCTGCATGGCTCGAAAAACCATTGTGTTGACTGAGAGCTAAATAGACTCATCGAGTCACATCGGTGTACTCGGCGATTTGTATGAACATGAGCATGGAATTGGCGAGTTGAAGAACAACTCGGCGAGTCTGTTGAAGATTGCCTTGGACGTGGCGAGTCGTGGTGGTTAAGACACAGATCAGTGAGTTGAGTGGTGACTCAGTGAGTTGGACAGGATGGGACTCAGAGATCGTTGAACTCGACGAGTCTTGGGATGACTTGGCGAGTTGAGTAGTATTTTGAGAGTTTCTGAGTTTAAGAACTCGACGAGTCTATGAGTTGACTCAGCGAGTCGAGTCAACTGGAAGGTTGACTTTGACCAGGACTTTGACTTTGACCAGAGTTGACTTAGTTTGACTTCTAGAGTTCAGTTTGGAGCTAAGTGTTATATTGGTATTAGTAGCTCGAGAAGTTTGTGGGGCAGCGATTCGGAGAGTTGTCGGACAGCAGCCAGAGGGTTATCAGCAAAGTTCAGCAGTGCAGGTGAGTTTCCCTTTGTGTGAATGGGTCTACGGCCATAATGCCGGCCCATGTAGTTATGAGTAGGAAGACCCGGGGGTTAGCCCTAGGCATAGTATGCTAGTATGACATTCGTGACTACGGTCCAATGTTAGTAGGCAGGTGCCCAAGGAATGGTTTGTATGATAGTTATACTTGTTGTCTGTGTGATACATGTATGTACCTTGTAGGGAGGTGAGTGTGGGCGTGGTCCCGTATCTCACCAATAGCAGAATGTTGACGGTGTTAAATACCTCATTAGCAGTAGAGCAGGGGCGGGTCCCATGTAAGGAAAAGAGTGAGTGTGGGCTGGGCTGGGCCCGTATCTCACTGTCAGTAGGAGCGTGCACGGGGTTCCATGATTCATCAGTAGTAGGACAGGGGGCGAGGTCCAAGATAGGCGAGGCCTTAGTACAGTAATCCAGTAGAGCATGTTAGTTATGTGTTGTGATATGATTGTATGCTAGTATATTTTAGCGGGTGGGTCCTAAGGAAAACAGATATGTATGCCGAGCAGGGCTCGAAGCCAAGCGGGGCCTGGTGGCGGACTGGGTCCGATAGCTGGCGAGGCCCAATGCAGCGGGCGGGAGCCCAGTATGTGGTTATGTGCTTAGTATTATGTATGGAATGTGTAGATCAGTAGATATGTACGGTAAGCGGTAGGTTGGGGAACTCACTATGCTTCGTGCTTACGGTTTTTAGTTTTGGTTTCAGGTATTCAGTTTTTAGAAGAGGAGCTCAGGAGGGTTGCAGTGCACACACCATGGCAAGTTAGCCTGGGACATTTACTCTGATAATTAAACAATTGTTTTGGAAATGAAACTATGATTTGTCATATAAACCCTTTCTGTATGTTTGAATGACTTAACGCTATGAATTAGTAATGTTTTTAAAAGAAATTTTCGGACTCGAAACTTGGGATGTTACACAAAAGATAAAAACACTTTACTCATAAATAAACACAACTTATATTCATCATCAAATTTCAATTATAGTTTACAAATTTCAAAATTATCTAACTACTAAAACTAATATCATCCTTCAACCCTATGCTCCGAGCATGCTGGAGATGCTTAACCCGACTCAGTCCCTTTGTGAGGGGATCTGCTGGATTCTCATCCGATGATACCCTTTTTTCCACGAGGAGTCCTTATTCTATTCGATGTCTAATGAAATGGTATTTTCTGTCGATGTGTCTGGATCTCCCGTGATCCCTTGGTTCCTTTGCTAAGGCAACTACACTTTCACTATCACTGAAAATTTCCTTTGGCTCCTTTATAGCTGGTACAACTCCAAGGTCTCCAATGAAGTTCTTCATCCATATCGCTTCCTTTGCTGCCTCACTTGCTGCTACATACTCTAATTCGCAAGTTGAATCAGCCACTATCTCCTGCTTGGAACTCTTCCAAGTAATTGATCCTCTGTTTAAGGTAAAGACCCAACCTGACTGAGAGCGGAAATTATCCCTATCAGTCTAAAATCTAGCATCACTATACCCTACAACTCTCAAGTCATCACTCCCACCGAGGGTAAGGACCCAGTCCTTAGTCCTCCGCATGTAATTGAGAATACTCTTTACTGCAATCCAGTGAGCCTTTCCAGGGTTCCCCCGATATCTGCTAACCATGCTCAAGGCAAAGGCTACATCAGGATGAGTACAAGTCATAGCATACATGATCGAGCCTACTGCCAAAGCATAAGGTACTCGACTCGTTTCTATTATCTCAGCCTCAGTACTTGGGCTTTGAGTTTTACTCAGTCTGGCGTTACACTAGATGGGTAACTCTCCTTTCTTGGAGTCCTGCATGTTGAATCTCTTCAACACCTTATCTAGTAGGTACTCTAACTAAGTCTAATTAGTCTTTTACTCCGATCTCTCAGAATCCTTATCCCAAGAATATAGGCAGCTTCTCATAGGTCTTTCATAGAGAAACACTTCCCAAGCTAGGACTTCACTTACTGCAGGGTTGGGATGTCATTTCCTATGAGTAGTATGTCATCCACATACAGTACCAAAAAAGCTAAGTATACTCCCACTAGCCCTGACATATACACAAGATTCATCTTCACTCCTCGAAAAGCCAAACTCTTTGACTTTCTCATCGAAGCAAAGATTCCATCTGCGAGGTGCCTGTTTCAATCCATAAATGGATTTCATGAACTTACACACTCTATTAGGGTGCTCTGCGCTGACAAAACCCTCTGGCTGACACATGTAAACTTCTTCAGCCAAGCTTCCATTAAGGAAGGTGGTTTTGGCATCCATTTGCCATATTTCGTAATCATGAAATGCAGTAATGGCTAACAGAACCCTAATGGACTTAATCTTTGCTACTGGTGAAAAGGTCTCATCATAATCAACTCCCAGAGTTTGAGAAAAGCCCTTTTCAACCAGTCACACCTTATATATGTGTACATTACCATCCATGTCGGTCTTCTTCTTGAAGATCCACATGCACCCAACTGTCTTACGACCTGGTACATTGTCAACAAAGTTGCAAACATGATTGTTATACATGGACTGTATCTCGCTATCCATTTCCTCTTTCCATTTAGTAGAATTGGGGCCTGCCATGGCGTCCATGTAGCTGTTAGGTTCATCCAGATTTACCAGTCTCTCATCACTGATAAATGTCTCACCTTCCGCACCAATATGGAAACCATAGTAGTGCTCAGGTGCATTCCTAACCCTTGTGGAATGCCTATGAGGTACAGACATGTCAGTTGTCTCAACAGGAGTTTCCTCCTCAGGTTGAGTGCTAGGATTTAAAGTTCCTTCACCACTTGACTCTTGAATTTCTTCAAGGTCAATTTGCATCCCACTGTTTCCTTGGCTTATGAACTCTCTCTCTCTCTCTCTCTCTCTCTCTCTCTCTCGAAAGACACCTCTCCTTGCTACAAATACCACATTATCACTAGGTCCGTAGAAGAAGTAACCAAATGATTTCTGTGGGTAGCCGATGAAAATACACCTCTCACTTCGAGGTTCGAGCTTATCATGAGTCTCGCGTCTCACAAAAGCCTCGCAACCCCAAATCTTGATGTGGTCTAGTTTGGGAACTTTACCAGTCCACATCTCATGAGGAGTTATGGCAACTTTCCTTGTAGGGACCAGATTAAGGATATGGGAGGCAGTCTCTAAGGCATACCCCCAAAATGAGATTGGTATCAAAGCTCGACTCATCATGGAACAAACCATATTTAATAAGGTTCGGTTGATCCTCTCAGCCACACCATTAAGCTGTGGTGTCCTGGGAGGTGTCAATTGTGAGATAATCCCACATTCCTTAAGATAGTCGAGGAGCTCTATACTAAGATACTCACCACCACGA